AAACTCTTCTATTCAAAGAAGAGCTTTTTATTTTTACTTTCTCGCATACGAAGTACACGAAGAGGAAGTATTGTAATCGTCAAAAAATCCGAACTCGAGATTTTGACGATTCTCCACGTTTCAGACCTCCCCGAGTCCGAAAAACATAATTTTAGAATTATGTCTGTCTGTTTGTGAACATGGTAACTCGAAAAATATTAGAGCTAGAAAGATGAAATTTATGTTATCTTTATACATAATTTGTAGGTTTCTGTCAAATTTTGGACAAAATCCGTCTACGGTAAGTGTGTCTGTCTGCCCGTGTTCATGTGAACACGATATCTCAAACACTTAAATAGCCCGATACATAAAATTTGGTACACAGTTTTATCATCAAGAATGTAGGTCCGTATCAAATTTTGGAGCAAATCCTCAAAGTCTCTATTGTCTGTCTGTCTGCATAAACGCATACTTGTTAATACGATAACTTCTAAGCCCTGTGACTTAGATAAATGAAAATTGGTATGAGGTCTGCTAACAATAATTAAAGATCCGTGCCCAATTTTCGCTTCAATAACTTGAAAAAAAGACGTTCAAATTTGATATTCAGTTTCTTTGCTATTGTACGACGCAAAAAAAAAAAGCACGAAAGATTTGCGCGTTTTCTCCGCCTGGTGTAAGGGAATCGTTCATGTTGCTGCCGCTCTGTGTATTTCCCCCACCCTCTTTAGGACGGATACGAGAAAGTTTTGGGAAGACCACTCCCGCTTGCTTTTACCTAGAGTTCAAGCAGTGATTATCTCTGAATAACAATCTATCAGTTTATGTTAATTTCATATAAGACAACACATATTTTTAAACCTGGGTTTAACCTATGATAATAGTGGTACCAAGTTAATGTATTTAGATTAACTACAGCTTACATTTCACAATGTAAGTCACTCACCAAAACAAATTCTTCAAGAATTCTTTAACTGTTCTGAAGTTAGTTTCAATAAGTAGCAATTGCAAGCCTCGATTAGGCATAAGTTTTAACTCAGAATACAATTTTTGACGCGACTAACGAAGTAAAATCTGCAGTTTTCATATTTTGCTAGAATTTTAATAATAGCAGTTGGTGTCCAACAATAATCTATTAATTGCGTTTAAAATTGATATTGATTTGCTGGTGTCCAACAATAATCTATTAATTGCGTTTAAAATTGATATTGATTTGCAAAATAAATATAATTTATTTCACGAAGTTTACATTTATATGTTTTCGCCTTTCATCTTTTGTGACAAAAAGATAACTTATTTCACGTAGGATTTCTTCATGGAAAAAAAGGAAAATTGAAGAAAAGCCTTCAATTTTTGACCGATGTAATGCTTTAATTAATAAATAAATTTCATTTTCTTCTCAATGAATACTTGTTTTCAAATTTATTTGAAAACAAAAGAATTCATTTAATCGTACTTTAATTACAAGATTTTATTAATTTTTAAAAAGGAATTTATTCTAAGTTTAAATTGTAGAATGCAGTCTATTGTTTGTTTACATTTCAAAGAAAGACACATTTTAAAAATCATTAACAGTTTGAATAATAATTTATGTAGATATTATACTGACCGGGAGCGCGTTAGTGAGAGACACATTAAAGAAGAATTTCCATCTCCTTTCGATGAACTGTTAGTCATTGTTTGGAATTCGAGGCGTTTAAAGGACTCTGCGAATCTGCTATTTGTATTTCAGAGATACGTGCGATCGTTGCAATGAAACTGAATTCTTGCTTTTTATATCTAAATTTCAATTGTTTTTTACTTTAATATTGTCTTTACAGTTTTATATTACAAGTGTAAATATTTCAGTTGGAATATTGTAAATTTCATTAATTTTGCTTTTACGTCATTCAGCTAATAATTTGTTCTTTTTATATTGCCTTTTGTGTTTTATGTTTACATTGTTTCTATTCTTTTCTTTAAAAAATGTTTAAAATAATTGTACTTATTAATCCTTACCCAATCAACAGAAAAACTAACAGACGATAATCCACCAAACAGTCATGTTTCAAAACCAAATCCAAAGTGCCAGAGTCTTTGATTCGGTTGCAAATTTTTCTTGAAATTTCACAGCATTTTCTGATCCTGAGTATAGGCCCTTTAGTTTTTAAAATATTCGTAAACTAATTACTTTATTACTGATAGAAGGCTAAGTTAACTGAAAATTAACTTTAATTTTACGCACCAAAATACTTGGTTTGTGTCAAAAAATAATAATGGTTTAATAAAAATAAATAATAATAAATAATAACAATAATAATGGTTTAATAATAAATAATAAAAAAATAATAATAATAGTTTAAATAATAATGGTTTGTGTGTGTGTGTGTGTCACCAATGTTACCATATGACATAATGGAGAAGAAGAAATATATAAATGATTTAATTAAGTTATAAATGAAAATATCTCGCTACTAAATAAACTAAGTATTTATTTAGGGTCAATAGCTCAGAACGGAATTGCGTCCCTACGTACGAAAGAAAACAAACTCTTAATGGAAATGGCTCGTTCAAGAATCTCGTATTTTTTTTATAAAAAATCTTCTACACAAACGCGCGTATATCGCCAGTCCATGCTTCTATTTCTACTGATGACGAAACACCACTATCAGAACAAATGATAATGTTGCAGTTTTCAGATGCGACGATACTTTTTTTCTTCCATAATCTGCTACTTCAACAGTTGCAAAATCGGCCATTTTCCTGATGGACCCTAACTGCACCCAATTTATTAACATAGATGTTAAATATTAAATTCTAGGCAGATATATAACGTAGAATGTTTTCCTTTCATGCGTTTATTCTTTAATTGAAAAGCAACAACAACAAAAATAGCGTTAGTTTCCCCCTAAAAATGTTAAGGTACGAAAGCTTAATTCTGCTTATTAACATCAATCATAAGTTGTTTTTCTTGCTGACCGCGGACATTATAATTTTTATTCACCACAGACTTTTCTATTTAGAGAATTGTTTTTTTAAATTTTTTTCCTTTTTCTTCCATAGAGTTGAAAGATAGTGATTATCTCGGAGTAAAGATCTATAAGTTTATGTTAATGCCATACAATGCAACAGATATTCTCGAGTTTGGGTTTAATCGATGATAATGGTGATATCATATTAGCACATTTAAATTCAGGACAGTTTATATTTGAGAAAGTATATCAGTAATCAAAAACATCCTTAAGAATTCTTTAACAGTTTTGAAGTTAGTTTCATTATGTCGTAATTTCAATCTTGGATTAGGAAAATGTTTTAACGCAGAATACGACGTTTGACACGGTTATCGTGGCTGCTATTTTCATCTTTTGCGAATATTTTTATAATAACAGTTGGTGTCTAGCAACGATTTATCAATAGTGCATTTAAAATGAATTTTGAATGAACAATAAATATGATTTGGTTTCAATAGTATATTAACCGCTTGAGGGCGGCGAAGTGCTATCGTGCTTCGCTTTTTATGTGCCGAAAATGCGGAGAAAATTCTTCCGCACTCAAACGGTTAAGGAATCTCATGTTTATTTTACGAAGTTTGCATTTGTATATTATCGGTTTTTATTTTTTGTAACTAAAAAAACTATTTTATACAAGGTTCTGCATGAAAATGTGTTTTTTTTCAATTTTTGGCCGATATGATTCTTTATCAATCTAGATGGAGTTCATTTTCCTCTGAAGCTATTATACTTGCTGTCGAAATTTATTTGAAAATCAAACAATTCATTGATTCCTCTCTACCGATAATAAAGGAGAATGTGTGTGAATGTGTGTGAATGTGTGTTGGCGCTCAAAAGGACAGACTGCTTGACCTAGAGCAACGAAATTTGGCAAAAACATGCTTTGGAGGGTGGGAATGTGCACCTCAGAGCCGTTTTTGTAATTTTAAATAATTAAAAATTAAGCTAAAGTTTGGCGTTTTTCCTTAATAACTTCCGAAAATATTACAGCACAAAAATGATTTTTACATCATCTGAAAATTTATAAAATTTTCTTTTCAATGATATCAATTAAGTTGTACGATTTTGTCTCTAATTTTAATAAATTTTAAAAAATATCTTTTGGCAAAATTTACAATACTTTTCATGTTACAATGAAATTCAAACCATTTTCATTGTTTAAAATATTTAATTGCTTGTTTCTCTTCCATTTTTGAAAGCTAAGATAATATCTTATTGGACTTTACTTTCTTTTTTTTATTTGATCAATTTTTTTGTGAAATCTGTTAAGAGAGTCCTCAAGATACTAAGTGTATAAAGAAATAATCCAGTAAACTGAACGATTATGGTAGCGGTATGGTTGATAAGTTTTAATTCATTTTATCAGCATACTTTAAGCCAATTAACATGCAGGACGTAAAACGTGCCGCACGATTTAGATGTTGAAATCAAATTTGTTAAATTAAAGTTCGTGTCGAGTACGCACAATTAGACGTTACTTCACACGAATAGTTACTTGACTCCATTAGGGACTTTCATGTAGACAAGGAACAGAACAAGTGCAAGGCTATGAAAAGAACGCGGACTAAATGTCTACCGAAATTTGAAGTTTAAAATTACTTTGCTGAGGGAACCATGAATATCAGATTACGCATTAGAGAGTCAGTTGAAATGATATTTCCGGCGAACAAGCTGGTCGTCGAAGGCGGCTAGTAAAACATTTTTTTTCCTGATAATCTTATTGCATTTTCGAAAAAGTAATCAAAGATAGAATTTCTTGTACTTTAGAAATGAAATGTTCTTCACACATCCTGATTCAATAATAATAAATAAAAGAAACTTTCATTTTGTCAAGGTTAACTGGCAGTAGCACTGAAATTACAGGGAAATGACGTTATAGAAATGAATCGTAAAAACTCAATAGATTTCATTTCATTTTGTCGTTTTATTTTTTAAGGAAAAATAAAATAATTAATTCTAAACAACGATAGATTAAAAGTTTAACAAAGTAAAAAAAAAGAATACTTACAGCATTATACTATTCATATATACAACGCTGTGGCGCAACGGTAGCGCGTCTGACTCCAGATTAGAGTGTTGTGTGTTCAAATCGTCAGTTTAGAGTAGTTTGGTATTTGCGTTGTTTATTTTTGGACAAGCTAGGGGAGTGTGGGGTTCAGCTTATTATCGAAGGAAACGTGTTTGATGTTTTGTCAGGTTTGTCAGCCATATTTACCAATCTACGAAAAAGATTTTCTGCAGTATGAAATCTGAAGGTACATTCTAAAGTAATGTGGTGGATGGGATAGAAAAAAAACCCGTTCCTCTGACTGAACAATTGTGTTCATGTAGTAAAAAGGAGGTATTGAGGTGTAGAAACCGTCAAGAACCTAAAGGTAGGCTTTTTGAACCTCTAAACAAATTTCTCTCGATATATTATGTTCTGAATATTTTCGATAGAAGTGCTGAAGATTATGTGTATGTAAAGAATAACATTTCGGAGTAATGAAAGGATCAATAAAGTTCTTTAAGTGGTAGTAAGTTTTCTGGTAGAAGAAGATACTTTTATGTCCCAGGGGAATGAGAACCAGAATTAAAAAAAAATTTTCAGAGTTTATTTGAGGTAAAGAGTTCTTCATGAAAGATATTCTGAGCATAAACGAAGAAAGTCGAACTACGATAAGTGAAATTTGATCAAATAAAATCTGTTTCTTTTTTGTGTTTTTTAGCTCATAGTTATTTATTTAAAAACAAATGCTTTCCATTCCTTTTTTACCATTTCACTTCATTCTAGAATGAAACTGGGGATTAATTTAGTTTAGTAAAATAAGGAGGCCCTTCCCGAGCAACTCAGAATGCTATTTTAGGACGGACCTCGTAATGTTGAACCGCGGTCGAATAGCAGAACCGACATCTGACAGCATACACATATGATAATTTTTAAACTGAACCATTGAATTTGCAAAGGAACATCATGGAAAAATAGCCTACTTAAAATTTCCAAGCAGAAAAAAAAATGTGCAATAAATTTCATGTTATTTGCAAATGTTGGGTATCGAGAAGAGTTACAAATAATCAGGGGTTTTGAAAACCCGAAGCTTGAATTTAAAATTGAGACACTTTTAATATAATACCTAAATCGGATCAGGGAGTTTATTAAAACAATGCCCCATTGATGACAAATTAGTTAATCACCATTACCACTTTTAAAACAGGTAATTAATCCGTATCTGAATTATAATCCATAACATTTTTTATTTATTCATTTACTTTTATCTCCTTTGAGGTAATAATCCCCTAGGAGAATACAGTATAAACTTGCTGTGAGATGCTTTTTTTACTTAATAGGCTGGCTATTCCCCTCAAATTCCTTTTTCCTCTCGAGTTGTACCATTGAATGTGGTGATGCGGTTAGAAACTAATTACCACTTTATAGATTTCGGATTCACTGTCATAACTAGAATGAACTGCGTGACTTTTTCTGTCGAAAGTTGAGCCAATTGCAACCTTTGCGCACTTAGAGGGCAATGATTAAACCTTGGAAAATTTAGAATTAGAATTTTTTTATGTATTGTGTTGCAAAGACAGCTGCATCTCAAAATGTTGTTTTAAAATTGGTTCATGATTTCATAACCAACTCCAGTTTTCACATGAATCATCTCAAAGTAAGCGCTTTATTGTCAGCGCTTTTCGACAACTATGTAAAAAAAAAAGATCTAGAAAGTCTGCAGAAGAAAAACCTTCATTATATATATATATATATATAAAAACAAAGTAAAAAAGATATATCAAAATGCAATTCATAAACTAAAAATTCATTAATTAAACAAAATAACCAAATCTAAAATAAAATCTAAAAATTGAAAATACTTTAGATACTAAGAGCAAAAGGTAAGTTTAAACATTTAGATGTTAACATGTAAATGAACTCTGTTGCTGTCAAAACTATTGAAAAAAGGCAATCCAATATATGGAGTTTTCAACAATTAAATTAGTTGCTTGGCTGTGGACAAGCTTAGACAGGTTAAATCAATTTTGCTGTACAAACCAGCCCTGTTACTAAAGTTTTTGATAAACAGACAGGGTAATTTACCCTAAAATGAAAGAATTTAGAAAGAAAAATCATACACTAACACTAACAAGATATCATCATTATCTGGAAAGTACTAAAATTAAATCTGCGAAATACAACAATATATTGCACTATTATATTGCACTAAAAACAATGAGTACATCATTCAATAAAATATCCATACTCATTCACTAAGAATTATAGAATCAGTATTTTTACTTATCCTTTACCTAAATAAGGTCCTTGAGGATTTTTTCGTGCATCATCTGGTACTCGTTTCTCGAGCTTACACAGTACCATGGTCTTCTACAATTTCTCGGGTCAGACAGAGAGTGTAATATATAAGTGAAATAGAATCTTGCAACTTCTCTTCTAAAATTTAATAGTGGCATTTTTTTATTAGCAATGCAGTGTATATTGTATGAGCATTCACTAGAACCCTTTCCATGGCATTGGTGAAAAGAGAAAAATACCACTTCTTGCCTCTAATTTTCGTTTTATACTTTTGTATACTACAGTCAAGTTTGTCAAAACCACCCATGTTCTTATTGTAATTTTCAATGGCATCAAGCTTTGGAATTAACACTTGTTTTTTCTTAGTTCAGACCATCTTTGCCCACGTCCCAAAGGTTAAACATCCAAATGATTTCATATCTTTGCAATGCGGTTATCTTCCCATACAAGGCCAAATATTCATTATATCTATAATCGAAAGCTCCACGAAATTCTTTCATTTCCTTATCTGTTTTTATAGGACATATATTCATCCTATTATATCTCGCCGTTCCCGTTGCAGGTATATTTATCTCTTTTAGATTTTTAATCAGATCAAACCCCATGAAAAAATTATAGAAATAAAAACACTGCTCTTCTGGTTTGTCTATGGTTGCTATCTTATTCAAAAACCAACATTCCTAATCCATATGTATCCTTTTCTGAATTACTAGTTAGCAGATCTGCATAGATTTCAGCATTGCAGCAATATCCTGTATCATCAGTGTTTCAAAATTACCTGCTTCTAACACCTGCTATTCCTTTCCTTCTCTACCCCCATCCCCATTATAATTTTGTTATCAGTAGACACATTCCACACTTTACTGAAAAAGAAGCTTTTTAGAAACGTTCCAAACACGTATTGCACCAGAGGAAAAGTAAGTCCTATTTGTAGCGTAAATAGTAAACCATTTTACATTATATCAACCGTGAGCCCCAATAGGGATCATTGTATTTTGCAGGTGGCCAAGCTATGAAGTAAACAATTTGCTCAATTTTGATACTATGCTATTCAGAACACATATACACATAACCTCTAAAATAAAAAAAAAGTTATTTCAATATTGAATATTAGATATTCACTTAGCAAATAGGTAAATGCGAAAAGGCATCATTTACAAGCAGATTTCTCAATAAAAAATCAAATATATATGCATACATTTAAATGACGCCAATAAGTTTAACTTTACATTAAGAGAAGCCTATTATGTGAACACATAACTTTAAAAATAAACAAAAAGTCAGAAATTGGGGGAGAGAAACATTAAAACATTAATGATCCCCAAATGGGGGCCACGGCAGGGAATGGGTTAATAAAGAGAGTGTAATAAAAGGTACCTAATAAGAAAAGGTTGAAGTTATGAGAGCTTGTGTAGAAGCAGATAACAATATTTTGACTTATTTATTCTGTTGATAGCCCAAATATACGTTTTGAAATGCAGCTGTTTCAGCAAGACATTACAGAAAAAAATTCGGGAAATATATGATTGCACTACAGTTTAAACACTTGGTAAATGGAACTATAATTCGAATACTTTGCACAATAAATTTTATACTTTACGCTTGCTACATGGAACTATAATTCGAAAACTTTGCACTATAAATTTGTTACTTTACACTTGGTACATAGAACTATAATTCAATTATCTCTCATTTTTTATGACTTGAATTCTGAAAAAAAAGTACTTTAAAAAGTTCTATTTTTTATAACTTGCGTGGAAAGTTATTAATACAAGTGATATTATGATAATCATGAGTGCATCATATTTGTTAAATGTTGAAATATTTTTTCCCCTTGATGAATAAATTGAATCATAGCGGAATGATTTCTTTTTCGTGCAATATATTTGCTATGAGTGCAAAATTAAGTCATTTCCAATGATGTACAAGTCAAATCAAAAGGCTTGGATGACAAGCAAAATTTTTGGTGATTAGCTGAAGGGAATTGATAAAGAAATGGCTAAAAAGAAAAGATGCATTCTCCTCTTCATAGAAAATTGTAATGCTCACTCTAATTTCCCGCCTCTAAAAATATCACAGTAAATTTTTTACCGCCAAATACGACTTCTAAATTGCAGCCACTAGACCAGGGGATAATCCGGAGCTTCAAAGTTGGTGATAGAGCGCAAATTGTGAGAAGACTCCTGGATAGTAACGGTAAAGGGAAACCTTGTGCATCTATCAACATCTTACAGTCAATGCGAATGGCTGACTATGCATGGAGAAATGTCACAGAGACAACAATAAAAAAATTGTTTCATCAAAACAGGATTTTCCGAGAAGAAAACTTCTAGTGAAACAGAGGAAGTTGATTCCATTAAGCACGCAATAGGAGAAGGAGAAAAGGATTGTAACACTAACATTGCATTTGAAGATTTCTTGGATGTATACAATGAACTCTAAACGTGCGGCACTATGACATATAAAGAGATAGTTGCGAAAAATAAATGCAGAAATTTCTGAGGAAGAAAACGAAGAATTGGATCAACAAGAGCAAGAAAAGGTTGTCGTGAAGGAAGCCGAGAAGGCAATGGAACTGCTCCGGAGCTTTCTTGAATCAATCGAAAATAGTGGAACTGAATCATTAGGTGCCATTGCTACTTTAGAAAAAAAATATGCAGTTGCAAAAACATTCTGTGAGACGGCAAACTTCAATTAAGGACTTTTAATTCCGAAACTACTAAATGTATTTTCTGTAAAGAATTGGATGCTATATTAAGTCAAAACAGGTACGCCTGTATAACACAATTTCGAAATTAGTAAAGCATTGAGAAGAG